AAAGGGAGGTGGATGGACTAGAGAGCAGTTTGCGATGGATGAGGCCTTAACGAAGATAAGGAAAAGACAGAAAATTTATTATTTAACTAAAAAACCAATAGCCCAATAAACGAATCAACTAATTACCCATTAAGTTAACAAACGTGTTTCAACCGGGTCCGAAGTAAAGCTAGATATCTTGTCTGCTGAAAGTGTTTAAAGGGGAAAATAAGATGAATGCACATGCGTATACTCGTGGAAATGCACAGCTACACAAAAAGATCCTAGAATAACACGCAACAACTAACAGAGAGGGCATGCATTCGTACTCGTTCCTGTGATGTGCCACTTGATCTGACTGTCTAAAGGGCAAAATATGAACCTCAATAATGAAGCAAGCAATTAGAGTGAAGGGGCTCAATGCACAATGTTAACGAGTTACCCACTCGTGCACACACAAACAAAGCAACCTTAGACTAACGACTGGGAGAGAAATGCGTATTCTTACCAGTTTCTGCAATGGACCAGGTTTATAGACTATCTAAAAGGCCAAAGGATAGACATAGGCAATTGAGTAGGCATTGGTTCGGCTATCGAACGACTTTCAAACGATCAAGGTATCGAGTTACTCACCTTCCCTCCCAAGAGTATATTGGGAGGAAAGACGAAATAAGTGGGGTCTAGGATGAGCCAAAGCAGAAGAAAGGAATGAAAAGCCTAATTTCTGTCACAATGAGGAACAGCAGGCGATGAGTGATAAAGTATGGTCATTAGTAAGTTCTAGAGTAGTCTAATCTGTGTCTAGTCTGGCAAGTGGATAAGGGAGATGTGGACACATACAACAAAAATGGATCGAATTCACCAAAATGACACTGACGAAGAATGACGCAAAAGGAGGAGGAGGAGATGGGGGAGAAGTAAATTTGGCTTTAAAGGATGTCACGATGAAAAAACAAACCGGAGGTGGGAGAGAAAGGAGTCCTGGCCTCACTGAAATGCAACTTAGGAAGGTAAGTGCATGAGAATGCATCTGGCTATCAAAATCTGTTAGGTGCTGTCGAGACATGATGCAGGGTGAGGTGTGGTGATGCATGACGTGAGAGCCAATGCAGTAGGAGAAGAATGAGATACTCACAGAAGTAACACTGAACTGGAATTCGCGTACGAAAGAGGAGACAGGAGGATTTTGCCGCCTTCGTCTGTCCGAACATATCACTTGGCCCCACCAGTGCACACTGTACCCTAATATCTGCGCGACAGTGGGAAAACCTCCTTTTACCTCAACATCTTTCTAGCCCTATTCCAAATGGCAAATGAAGTAGCACTTGAATATTGGGCATGGAAGCAGGTACGAAGTATAAATGATGAAGCAAATGGCTTAGTCTAGTATAACCTAGTTAAGCCTAATCTAGCCCAACGTAGCTTGGCTTATTACCACGTTTCTACAATGAGCGAATGGCACAGCAAATAAACGTGATTCAGTACATCTGCTACTGATTTCACGTTTTGTAAAATGCAGTAAGAAGATCCGTCAAGATAATTGATTGCTATGACATTGGCAAATGTTAGTTTTTTGGTAAATCTTTCTAATCCTGTGCTTGCATAAATTCCCGCCCCTCACTATAGTGGAGGGTATGGGTAATTCGACCTCACCGGGGGAGGCAAAGAACAATAAATGTTCAGCTAAAAAGGGAAAAGAAGTAAACAAAGAGGAAAAAAGGAATGGGAAAGGCAGGGAACAATAGGGAATGAAATATGCGAATATGAACTGATGCTATGTACAGGGTGGGCCAATTAAGAACAGTTTTTATGATAAGGTACTGCGTTTTCATTAGGTTACTTCTTTCGTCTGTTCATCTGTTCATTCATTCCTTTATCTACCTCTCTGCCCATGCAACCGCTGTAACCATAAATTACAGAGAGAGTTGGAATAACTATGCATTCGAATGAACATGAGGTTGGCGCGCCTGCTGTGGGCATACAGACTTCTCTTGACATGTCCATTTAAAACCGCTTCCATCTGAGACAATAGCTGGGATGATGCAAGCAAATAAAGAAGGGGAAAAATAGAAAGCGGAAAAGAAGTTACCAAGGGAATAAGGGAAGAGGTGTCATGACTCACCCCTAATTTCTCTGAATTCCTTCCGTTCCCCATTCTTAGGCCATTCGAAGTGCTTAGAGCGTGGAAGGCGAAGGTAATGAAGATTACAATGGGCACAAACTGCTAGAATTAACCGAAACAGGAGGGAGGCACTGCTGGTGAACTGAATTGTAGGGAGAAGGACAGCACGTAGGATTGCGATGAACACCAGAAGACGTTGTGCATCAATCATGTCTCGCGAAATTTGTTTGAATTCTTCCCCGTTGACGGCACATGCCTCGTGTGGCGTGTCGCGTGGTCTACGGTAACGACGTTTCAGTTGTCCCAACACTTCATTTAGTTGGGATTTGACATAAGAATTTATTTGCTCCTGTGCCTCTCAACTTAACGGAATGTCTGGAACCAGAGTGCATAACGAAGTGATTGAAAACAAAATAAGCGTTGCTTTGGCACTTGTTCATGGCTCCGCCTACGATTTCGATCCCTATTCTGGTTTGGATTTGCATCAGAGCTTTTGAACGCCGCCGTGTTGTTTGGTTACAGCTGTAGCTATAATTGCATCCATCACCATAACCGCACCCACAGCTCCACAATTTCCAATGAGTCAATGATGAATTGCCTTTCCCATTGGTATCCCCTTTCACATTAACTGGAACGACTTAGTGAAGCACAATCATTGATGCAAAAAGTGAAAAGTGGGAGGAGAAGCGAATTGCATATAGATTAAGTATTATTTGCTAACCTTGGCACATATTTAAAGCGGTATTTCACTAAAGGTGGCTATCTAATGCGGATAGATGAATTCTGGGACAGTCACTACGGTTGATGTGGAGGCAATGCGTTCTCAGTCAGGTCCGTATCTTCGCATATCACAAGAAACTTGAATTTATTTCACGATCAAAGTGACTTGAGACAACAATCATTGACCAACTGCACCACTTGTTTGAAGTGATTTAAATATCTATACTTTTATAACCTTGTCATGAGCACGTTCTTCGAGAGTTATCAAGTCAGATTTCTAGTTACTAGGAAATACTAAACAGGATCGCGTTGATGGCAAAGTGCAGAGATGGCCGAGAGGTAAAAAATCTGACAATCGATCATCCCCACCTTGCTATGGGAAATTTGACACATTATTTTTGGCTGAGGGTGATAGAGATTTGGCTAATGAACAATCATGGGACAGGAGTCCTAGCAGCGTATGCTGAAACCGACCATCAGTATATACACGCTCAACCATTTTGGGCGATATGAATGTATCAGAATGGTGACCAAAATGGAATTCCAAGTATTAACAATCTTGGCAGTAGGCGCATACACACTCGGTGTACACATGCTGTGCACATATCGTCTGCATCAGAGATCTCACTTAATGAGGATTCATCCCTTTATGACTCTGCTTCGTAACTCGCCAGAACCGAGGCTTAACCATCTACACTGTTGCCCACGTCAACGTTCTTCATGAAGGCGTGGTTCATTGCAGCTGCGTGTCTCATTAAAAAAAAGTTGTTCTCAAACTGCCATCACTTAATCATTGCGGTAAGTTTCAAATCTATTTGCATTTATTTGTCCCTGTTAGGTGTAGCCAAAATCTGAAACTCGTCAATACCCAATGTCAGGTGTTTTTTATGTTTACAGGAGAGAAATAGGTAACTTGTTTCCCAAACTTCACGTAGACATTCCTTTTCCTAATCTCAAGTTTTTACAAGCATTATCTCTAGAATAATGTCAGTTTTATTTTGGAGTTTACTGTAACGAAAAGGAACTCTTATTCATCTGTTGAGGAAATACACTCCGCAAAGGGCTTGGCTAGCAGTCGGCCTTCTTGTTATAAAATTTATTTCCTTTTCTTAAAAGAGTCTCGAATGCGTAGTTACCTTCATGAAGACTGTTTATTTTACAAGGCACTAGTTACTGTGACAAATCAGCATACCGTGTCCTTTTATTGAAGCTCTGGGCACTAAATTTTGTGGTTTTTGCGTATTTTATTACCAGTCAATCAGTAAAGCAAGGTTTTCCCGATTCCCTGCGCTTAAGTGATACGACTGGCCGAGGAGATAGTGTTAGTCCTTGATGTTTTTTGATGGCATGCCTTCAGTTGCATTTAAGAGTATGTGAAAATATCCTCAACGGTGGCATAAAATCAAACAATGTAGGGTCTTTAGCTATGCTGGTTTCTGATAGTCAAAAGGAAAACAATAAGAGGGAAACGGAACTAAGGCTTTGACAATACATTACTAGGTGATATCAAGTTATGAATATTAAAAGCTATTTTTAACGAGAATCGTTAGAATGTTTTGAAAAACACATGCAGACTAGTAAAATTAAAAAAATGATTACTAAGAGCGAAGTTTTGCAGGTATTGCACCTTGCATAATATCGCAGAGATCTTCATCGCTCTCCCTATGGAGCTGTCAACTCGATCCTTACATTTCATCCTTGCAAATCCCAATTTGTCAAATATCGGCTGCTATGACAGCAGAAGCACGTGTCATCGTAGCAAACAATGAAGGAAATGATTTAAAGTTATTTTACTTAAATTTCTGATAAAGTGTGTTTTAAACATCTGGAAATAAACGTTTTTCATATTCAAGAAAGTCTCGTCAACTATTATAGGATTCGGCGTGTGTTTCCGGAATTCATTTTATCCAGCAAATGCAATTTAGTGAATGATTAGATCAAAATCCGAGATCCGAATGAAGCGCAACGAGTTCAAATCTACTAAATCTCCTAGTGTTGCCGGATATTTTCCTCCTCCTCCGCCTTCGTCAACCGTTAGTAGCAACTCACTCGCTCCTCCTATCGCTGCGGTCTCTGCAGTGGTTCAGAGCAGGACTATCTTACAAGGAATTAGTGTCTTTCTCCTCAACAGGGGCTGCAAACGCATTGCTCTCTTCTACGACATGCGTACCACCGACTTTGACATTCCCGAGACGTTGGCTACAGTTCCATTAACGCTTCCCATCTCACGAAAAAGGCAAAAAGTATTTCACTTGTTAACTAGTGAAGGTATTACATTGACGATAACTTTACTAATCTATTAGAGCCATCAGTACATCATGTCGGTAGTGAGCAATGATTTGTCAAACGCCAGAGCAGATTGCCCTAGTAATTCTATTCGTAAATCTTCCACTTTAGTAGCGTTGATACTAAGGAGTCAATCACTGGCTGTAAAATTCGTGGTGAGCATTCAAAACTTGACCAAAATTAAACAAGTGGTGATTGCACTTATTCAGGTGGTACCCATAGTTATGCTTAGTTACCATGCTTAGGTGCATGAAGCTCACTGTTGTCAGAAATTGGAGGCACATTGGCTGTCAATCGTTCGCTCATCATTCCTAACACACCTCCTAGGCAATCTATGTACTAACGGGATTTAATAGCACATAAGAAGGGAATTCAAACCTCTTCGCCACCATTTTACATTTAATCCACACAAGTGACCTTAGCTATACATTCATTACACGAATGTGCTCCTATTGGAGACAGTGATCTCATATTGTTGTTATAGATTTCACCACCACCCTGAATAATATTTTAAACCCACTCACTAGAATTGAATACTAATTGAGCTGTTTTCTGTCCCTTATCATGGAAAATTCTTATGTGCAAAGTTGTTGAATAATTGCCAAAACATGCCTTATAAAGGAACACAAATATAGAATTTCCAAAAAACTTTGTTTGCATAGACGATGTCTTAGGGACGCTCAACCTTTACTTCGCCGTTACAACTTGTTCACGACAAAAATGTCAACGGGATGTTTTGGTTCAAATTAATTTTACTCGGAAGTCCATTCAAAGGTAGGTTCTTAGAAATGTCATGAGTACAGTAATTTTTGCAGATTAATGAATTGCTACCCTTTTATCAAACTATTCGTAACTGCCTTTTCGAAGCAAGAAAAAATTGTGATTAACAGAGTAGAAGCAAATGCTTATTTTTCACTTCTTAAAAGGGCGATAGGATCACCGCTTTTATTTCGCGAGACACGATGCTTACATCGCCAGTTTGGTTTAATAGGGTAAAACACAAGCTTTACTACAGTTCTTGATCTGTAACTAGCAGTCAAATGTGTAGCATCGGAAAGAAGCTCTTGTGCCTTTCGTGAATTGATCTCGATAACTTAACTAGGTAGAAGGTATGGATGTTTTAAAGAAAGATTAAAAAACTGACTAAGTTCGATCAATGGAGACCTTTCCAAATTTTTATAAATTCTGATGAAAATCCAATAATTCAGTACTTATTTTTACTGCAAAAACTGAATAGTAGCTGTCAAACACATTAGGATAAAAAAAACTTGCAAGCATTAGAAGGGAGGCTTTTGCATCTTGGTAATGAAGTGCAGCAGCCATGGTAGATTTGTCTGTTTTCTTTTGAAGTATTAGAGATGGTCTTTCATTTGAACCCTGTTTGCTTGTGCCTACCACTGAAGGATATATAACTCGAAGTGTTGCCCAAATGTGCAAATATTAAACACACAATAAAATTATAAAAATATGATGTCCATACATTTTCATGATGACTTTGATGTCCTACGTCTTCATCTGAGTTTGAGAATTAACGGTATTGTCTTATCAAACAGTGCACATAACAGCTGTTTGGGAGGAACAGTGCGCAGCGCTGATCATGTTCTCCTTCTCCCTCTCTATGCATCTAAATTAAGCCAAGTCTTAGCGCCTATCCTGATTCCACAGCTGTCTTATTCGCAGCCATCGATCATCGCCGATCTATGCCTCACACTGTAGTGTTGCTAAGGCACCAGGATGATCGGTGATAGCGTGATAATCAGTAGACACGTCCATTATGCTCAAGGAGTCATTGTGACCGACCTAAACCACTTCCTCAAAGGGTACCACATTCTCAAGTGTGGGAAGGGACTAAATTGGAGGGCCTACATTTTCGTGCCGGATGCCACTCAAGAGGGCAGACAACCCAAACCTGCAGCATATGTAGATCGATTAGATAGTTAAATGACTTCAAAAGACGGCAAATTGCAAAAATAAACGCTACCATGGTCTCAAGCCGTCAAAGGTGCTCTCAAATGATCTACTCATTGCCCTCCTCCAAATGCCACAGCTCAGCCGAAATCATGTCATTTAAATTTATCCAGCGGTCTAAATCGCTCAAAAGATAGCTGATACAGCTGTGCTGAGCATTCTCGACATTGTTTCGTTGTTCTGCATTCTTAGCATGGAAGCCCTTCTTGACATCTAATATTTTCATTACCAGCTGAAGTATCGGCTCCATTACAAAGAGCAGCTGATTGCACGTCGTCAGTCCTTCATTTTAGGCGTCCAATTTGTACTTTAAGTTCTTATTTGTGCCCTCATCGGTTACAGCATGAAAAAAAGACCCACAACAGCAACTTTTTAGAGCGACGTCGCATAATTTGGCAGTTTTCAGAGTAGCAGAGGTGATATTCTTCTTATTGACTGCAACAACGAAGCGGGAGGCAAGATTCTTTTCCATAAGTAAGGAAATTAGGTCTTTAAAAGGAATAACTTTTTGTCATGCCTCCAGAACAGCTATATTGGTTGCAGTATTGACGACCTGTTTTTGGAGCAATAAGAGTTACCTAGAGAAAAGAAAAACTTGCATATTTTAAAACACGATTGAAGTTTTAAGGCAATAATCTACATTTCTGAAAACATGGGTAAGACGGTTTTTGCCACTCTACAAGAAGATAAATACAAACCGCACCAAAATGAGTTTGCTTTCACAACAAAGCTGGAATTTATTTCTTATTTTATCAGGAATTGCGCACATTAAGCCATTCTCATCTTTCATTGAAACCAGCATCTCCTTGTCAAGTGAACTAGAGGGATGGAGGCTCTATTACGTGGTGTGCAAAAAGCGCAGCTTCGCATTCAACCGCCCCACTAACAAATGATTCACATTTTCGAATTCCGTGAAGCGCTAGGGAGCAAAATAAAGTGTAATGAATTATATTGCGTCATGGCTGGATCATCTGACAACTTCTACTGTTGTATTTTTTGTACTTGTAGCAGAAAGACTAAGTTTGGTGGCTTTTTGTCCCAAATTTGCGATTTCCCGGAATAATGTCGCAGTCCAGCAGGCACATTCTCGGCCACAAAGCAAAAACTGGTAGCCAGTAAGAGCAATCTTTTCTAGTAACAGTTAGAAAACACTGATAATCCCTAGGGCCAGCTAAAAACAAAAGCAACATTTGGGTAAAAAAACGCACTCTGTATCAGTGTTTGATTAAATTAGTCATATCTGACCAGCCAGGCGCAAACTTTACAGAAGCTTCAAATCAAGCCAGCCCCACTGATCCATAGCCAAACCTTCATGTTAATATCTATTTGACACCCACATGTAGATAATAAAACAAAAGCATTTTTATTAATACGGACTATTCACCGTGTTGACTGACAGCACTCGCACATAGCCCACCCATTTATATAAAACACAAAATTCATCTGCAGGGCATTCGACACATATGAAAAAGAACTTAGTAATTTGTCACCAAATACGCCTTTGTTCTCAAAGTTTTAACTTATTTATCTCGGGTATAGCTTACAAGTTATGTATGTTGTAAGGTAGTAAAACTGTCTTTAGTGAACTAGTACCATTCCTTTTTTATAGCATATTAGTTTTATTTTGCAAGAAGTTATAATTCAATAATACGTTGCTAGATCTTTCCAGCTGTATTATTTATAAGCTATTATCGAATCTTGTTGTATTCAATCTACAGTCGAGTTGTCTTCCCAATTTTTATGTAAACAACAAGCAACTGCATTGAGTGTATTATTGTAAATACAATTCTTACATAGTAAGCCTTCTCTGAAAACGCAATAATCGAAAGCAGTGTGGAAAAGCATAAATTGGGCGTGTGTATGAGCCGAAGTTTATTCCAAAAAGCTCAGATGATAAAGGAGTCGCCTACTTGAGCGTGCTTTTGATCAAAACGTCAAATCACCTCAACATTAAATAGGCAGCCATAATGTGGGCATGAGAACCTCTTAAGAATGGTTTTTGTCTAATGTATTCACTTATCTATGTATAAGGCAGTTATTTTTAAGTTGGCGCATCGAATCCAAATTTTGCAGTTCTGATATAAGGGAATGTCCACTTAACCAAACCTATGGACTTCCAAACTTCCTGTACGTCAATAGCACTGCAACGAGATGGCTGTTCGGCTAACTCTCAGTTTAGCTAGAGGGACCGCTTAAGTGCCCTACAACTGTATCTCAGTTAAGTGGCCCAGACCCCAGGCTATACCAGCAGCCCTGATCCTGCTGTATGTGTACAGGTTAAATCCTCCTATCTAATCACCTGTGATAAAAGTAGTCCCCAAATAACCAACCACTTTCCTAATTTACTCATCCACTGCTTTAACAGGCGTTTTTGGACTCAAGAAATTGTCTGCAACAGCGCCAAATTCATGCCTAATTTTTCCCAAATACAAACAAAAACTTTGGCTGTGCAACTTAGGATTAGCTAAAATGTGTTTTACAGCTCAAAA